TAAAAGTAAAGTAATATATATATATATATATATATATATATATATATATCAAAAAGATATCTTACCCAGTCACAGTCTCACCAAAGAGTGAAGGATGGTGACAGGTGGAACACGGTACCCTGATGAGGAAAAAACAGCTACCAGAAGCAGATAATGGGAGATAAGTGTGTGAGGTATAGTCCTAGTGCTTGATGGAAGAAGTACCTCCAACATACAATGAAGGTGAGGTACAGGTAAAAAGGAAGGTGACTAATCAGAGTGAAGACACCATGAACTGATTAAAGGGAAAAAGGAGACCATGAAGAAAAGGTAATTGAATCAAGATCTGGATCCAAAGGGTAATGGAGGAAGAAAAAAGTCAAAAACAGAAAAGTGGTGCCAGGGAATGAAACAGCAAGAAAATGAACCAACAGGAAGGTGATGGACATAGGAACATGAATAAAGAATGCAATGGCCAAAGAGACAAACAAGAAACCAAAAAAGAAAAATCGAATGTAGCATTACAGATACCCGACGTGATGTTAAAGTCACAGAAGAAACACCCCCAAAAAAAGAAATGGACCAGTGGAGGAAAAGAGCTGTCCAAAAGTCCCAATTAAAACTGGAAGGGAAACGAAATTGGTGCAAGATAGTGTCCCATCTTAGAAGATCTGAAAAACAAAAAAGACCCATTTGTAGGAAAAGAGCTGAAGATGGCAATTGCCCCAACATGGAGGTAAGGAGGAGGAAGGTATCCCATAAGCATCCCCAAGAAATAGATGGAAGTGACAGGGGAAGATGAAGACTGGAAAACTTGGCTAAGGAGAAAGGGATAAGATTAACAGATTCTGTCCTCATTCAGGAAACAGAGAATTGAAGTGCAAAGAAGCAAGAAATAAAACAATCTGCCTGATGGTAAGCCAAGTCAAAATGAACCAAAGTCCATGGAGGGTGAGGCATGCTGGAACCATCTCCCAAAAGAGAAACATAAAGGCAGAGCATGAACCAAAATCTCGGGAAAAGGTGGGAAAAAGAAAAAAAAAAGTTGTGAAACATTTATAAAAATGGCTGAGATAGGCCTATAAGACTCTGCAGTAGAAGCCTTGGAAGGCCAATACACAATGAGATGGAGGAAAATTGTCAAAATAGATTTCCTCCTGTACAAATTCAGCAGTTTGATGAGGAAAGCAAGCAACAGTTGGAGAGGGTTGGGTAGACCATGGACCCAGGCATCCTCAAACACAAAATTAAGTGTAAGAAGTATAAAATGTAATTAATTATGAAAATGTAAAACTCATTATATTGTAAAATTAAGTAGGTGTATATTGATAATAAAATTTAGTAGATGTTGAAGAAACAATATATTTAACCTAATTTATGACTTACCAGTAAGATGAATGACAGGTAATCCTAAAATTACAAACATACATGTTAAGTCTAAACTAGCATTGTAGTACAAAAGCATATCACTAAATGTTAATGAAAAACCCTAGCCTTACAAGAAGTAGGTACAAATCTAACTAACCATATATTGTTCAAACCAAATAACTACAAATAATAATATTAATGTCAAAATAATCAAAAAGCTAAAACACTATAACAGCTTATTTGTCCAAAGTCAACGGACCCAAATGTGTGGACCACTAAACTCAAAGGCCCGATGAAGGTCAACTATTATAATTCTCTCTCAACATGGGCTCAGTCAATTTGACTGACTATGTGACCTCTTTGTACTTGTATAGTCTTTATATATTTGTTACTACTGACTTTTAATATAGTACGCATGTCTTCACAACATTTGGCAGTCTTTCAGTAGACATTATGTCTTTCACAAACAAAAAATCATATTTTTTGTGAAGTATTTTAAATAAACTAAAAAAATATGTCTGTGAATATATCGAGTATTTGTTTTGAATAGTCCATGTGCAAGGTGATTTTCACGTTCAGATTAAAAGTACTTTTCTTCATCTCAAAAATCTCAGATTTGATTTGTGTAATCTCTAAAACCTCCTAAATACATTTCAAATGTTTGTTTTCAGAAAAACTTTATATTTTATCTGTTATTTTCAATACCCTAACTCTATACAACATTGGTCAATTTGACTGACTTTGTAACCACCAAAAAAATAAAAAAATTTAAATAAATTTAAATTACATTTTTTTCTTTCTAGAATTGTAACATGAAACTACATTCTTTTATCCTGAGTAGCTTTAAACCCGTAAGAGAAAAATATATTTATGATTAAATTTGGTTTTATTGTCCTTTGAACCATGTCTAACTATTATTCCTGCTATTATAAGTTGTAAATCACTTGGGAAATGTGGAAGTCATGTTACACTATCAAATTACTTTACCCACGAGCTGCTCATGTGTGAGCCTCATGAAACATTTTTATTATATTATTATTATTATTTATTTTACCTAATCTAACCTTAACCAACCTAAATAGATCCCTATTTTTACATTTTAGTTAATTTTATAATAATAAATAAAGAATAAACATGAAATAATGTACTTACCTGAGTATTTCTTTTTTTTTTTGCTGTTGACCGTTGATGATACTTATCCCTACTTTTTTATACTAATGGTAGTAAGGCAAGAAATAATTATTATCTAATTAAATAATACACTAAAGAAAATAGGTTAATAACATGCAAAAAGCAGACACTTTCCTCTAACAATCACAATTTTTCTGGCTTTCTAACTATGCAACAAGAGCCATTACAAATTCATCCAAGCTAGCCATTGTGATTCCCATCAGAACCAAAGTTGTATTGGAAGAGAATTTTGACTATTCTGTGTTCAGAACACAACATAATATAATATGTCATTTGATAAATGAAAACCTTGACTTTCTATTCGTTATAGGTAATATATAATTAAATGTAAGAGAGAACTATTAAGAAATCCTGAAAAAGAAGATGTAACAGGTGGGTGTGGCAGGAGGGGGCTGATTTTCTAGTTGATGGCTCTGTAACCAAACAAAATTGAAAGCTATAAAAAATTATGGTTTGTCTGAGCAATGACGATTTTATAATGATTAATTTATGTTTAATTTCGTATTTATTGGAAGGGTGGTGGATAAAATAGAGTAGATGCCTTGAGAAAATGTGTCACATGTGTCACACTAGGGTAAATTCAGGATTTTTTAAAATATTGCCTTATAAAATTAAGAACTTAAAACTTATATACTATTAAAATATGGATTATTTGCTAAGATTTTATGCTATATTAATTGAAATAACATAAACAAAAAGTAGGTTACTAAAATTTTGAATCTAAGTCACTAAAACCTCGTGACATGGGGAGTTAAGTATGCCCATCGCAATAGGAATAACATTCAATCTCCCAATATATTTAAGCTGACAATTCCACAGTTGAGTACCACCACCAGAAACCTAGGTAATTGTGCTGGAAGTAAATTATAACATTTTCGAAGTGTAAACATAAGCTTCAGTGAAAATAAAAAAATAAAGAAAAAAGAAGAACAATAGAGGTAAGTTATCACTTAAAACAGGTAAAATGAAGTAGAAAAGATTAAAAAATATCTCCACTTTGTGTGAAATTTCAAAAGAAAAAGAAAAACATGGGAAAAGGCACAAACAAAAAACATCTTGACTATAGTTTTGTAGAATCAAATAGAGGATTCACATGTGTCAGGAGGGTGTGTAGTACTCCTACTGATGGAGGCTTGTGGCATGTGAAAAAAATTTGCATATAGAGAGCAGCACTGAATGAGAATATCTATTTATGCGAGTGGAGGTAATGTACCATATCGGAATACGAAGTACCAGGGGAATATTTCATTTATAAGATTTCAGGATTGCTATAAGTGAATCATGGTAATTAAAAAAATTAAGAAGCTCTCACCAGGTAGGATTATTTCAGGAAATCCCATTTTGCGAGCCACAGCAGTCGATGGGGACATAAGATGTGGATGTTCTTCACGAACTTGTTTGACATCTCCATGAAACAACTTCATACACACCCATAATCCCTGGCCCTTGTGTTCTCTCTGACTAATTTCTTTAGCAGACAACACCTTCTTAATGACATTCTCAAGAAATTCCCTCTCGCTACACCTGGAAAAATATACAGATAAAAAAAAAGGCTGCACACATAATTCTTTCCTTTTATCATGATGTACTCACCCCACCCCACCCCACTACATTATTATCTTCAGCACTAGACTTCAGTTCTTCAATGAGGATGGAAAAGCATACTGTGGTGTAGCTGAGGTGTTTGTCTTTATACATGCTGGATTGTTTGTTTTCTAAGTTGTCTTTCAGCATCTTCAAAGTAAGATAATTGGAGGTAAAGGGAACTTCAGTTCACAACCAACCATATTATTCCTTGTCACAACTTAATGTTTAAGTCAATCAGTTATGGACTATACTTCTAACAGCAACTAAACCGGAAGAGAATTAAATATTGGAATGTTCAACATGATACTTTTTACCTTCATCAGATCAGGTGACTTGGACTGTATAAATGTGTTTGAAATACACAAAGTTGATTTGAGTGCTTTAAATTATTACTGAATGGTGGTTTCTCAATACTGTTATGAAGTTTTATTCTTAATGCTGGTTTCCTGCACAACACTACTTTTAGTTGGAAAACTGTTACTTTTTGATTTACTTGATTGATCTCAGTCTGATGATTCTTTTATAAAGCATCAGTTTGAGAAACAACAGTATTGCATAATCTTGTTGATTTAATGCTGGTTTTTGTTGTACTGTTTTGAATGCCTTCTTTGATTCTCAGCATTCTTTCTTTGCCAGCCAATCTAATGATTCTGAAATCACTAATAAAAAAGTTAATCACAGGTTTTATAGTAATATGAGGAATTCTTGATCAACATTCAAGATTATATACCAAAGTATTCTGTAATTTAAAAAGAGAGAGAAATGGAGCTTGGATAACTGCATACTTGATTGTAATCAAGAAAAGGTTATTTGTATACTCTGGAATATATTAAGATTAGAATGACACTCTTCAATTTTAAAAAATTCTGTAGTTTGATTGTTGAGTTGAAAACAGAACACAATCTCATTTGTAAAATCAGACAAGTCCACAATTTTCTATACTATTTGTTTATAGACCTAAAAAGTTTATTTTTTTTATTAATAAGCTATCAGGCCTGATGAAGAACTCAGCATATAATCCAAAATGTTGTCTTCAAAACCAGAAAGAAGACAGAAAGAATCCATAGAAAACTATTTAACATGTCAACACAGTCTATAATTTCCTTTACAAGATAAATAAATATCTTTATGAAAATTCAACTATTTTATTTGATCAACATAATCAAACTATCCTTCTGAGTAAATTTCTTTATAGTCATATATTTCAAGATCTGTAAGAACATCAGCCAGAGTATGACTAAACATTATGTTAGATACAATGAGTCTCAATGGATATTTAACTCATCACCCTTGAAAAACTATTGTAAATGCTTAAATGGGAATCTGTTAACTCATTTGCTACGAGGTGGGTTGACTTGACCAACATTGTAACTATTTTGTACCTGTTATAATTTCTATGTCAAACTACTGTTCATGCCATTATAAGTTGACAAACGTGCAACTCACGTTACTTTAACAAATTACATCATGCACGAGTTACTTGCAAGCTGCTTGTAAGTGTACCTCATGAAAAATACTTATTACATTATTATTTATCTATTTTAGCTAATTTAACCTTAACTAACTTAAAAAGTTTCCAATTTTTACATATCAGTTACTTTTATAATAAGAAATAAGGAAAAACAAGAAATAAAGAACTTACCTGGGCCTTCTTTTTGACTGTTGATGACACTTAACCCTACTTTTTCATACTTATGGAAGTACGGCACTATATGTTTTATATAATTAAATATTGCCTCTAAAAAGAAAGAATAATAAAATGCAAAAAGTAGACAATGTCCCATAACTATCACAATTTTTCTGGCTTTCTAATTAAGCAACAATAGCTGTTAAAATGCATCTAATCTCGTCAATGTGCTTCCCATGGAAATAAAGCTTGAATTGAAAGTGAAACATAATATAATATATCACTTGATAGATGAAAACCTTGGCTTTCTATTGGTTATAAGTAATATAGTATTGAATGCCAGAGAGTAATTTCTGAAATTTCAGTAATTTCTGAAAAAGAAAATGTGACAAGTGGTTGTATCAAGAGGGATCTGATTTTATATTTGATGACACGGGCTTGGTTCTTGGGACTGACCTCATAACCATTTTGTGCTTGTTATAGTGTTCATGCTATAACTTTTAATATTTTAAGTGTATCTTTACAACATTTTGTAGATTTATAGTAAACATTAGAAGCCTTTTGCAAACAAAAAATCAGAGTTTTTAATGAAGTATTTTTACTTATATTTGTCCGTGAAAATATTGATTCTTTTTTTTAACTAGTCTGAGTGCAAAATGATTTTCATTTTAAGATTTAAAATACTTTTCTTTGTTTCAACAATCTCGAATTTCATTTGCACAACCTCTGAAAATTCCTATATACATATATCCCTTTTTTCAATAAAACGTTATATTTTACCTGTTATTACATTTATTATCTGATTCTTCAGCCTGTAGACAACTCATTGAAGTAGAGTGAAAAGAAAAATTGTAAAATCAGAAATATAACGAGCAGTTGTTTCCTTTTTCTTCATTATTGATCATGAAGTTTCAAAGTTCTTCCCCTGATAGTTTCAACTGCTAAACATATCCCATATATTTTCTGTGTTTACTTTATTGTCACAGACAAATTACAAACCCGATGACAAAAAGCAATAATTCACTGCCTGTGTTATAAGACTGTTTACATACAACCGTAATACGAAACTCTCGAGCGCAAAAATGTACGCGTATTCTGTGAGGTGACATTCCCCTTGCTCCGAGAACACAATATGGGATATAGCAGTTTATAGTTCCTACAACACTTTCAATAGGAATTTCCCAGGGTAATAAAATTGCAATTAGAATGTGTAAAACATTTATTATACGGTTCAGAGTTTGGCTGATCCAATAAACATTATAGGTTCTGAGCCGGGCTTATCCATTTACATAGCAGGTGTTTCAGTACTATGGTCACCCATTTGATGTGTGTGGAATTTCACAGCATAAGTATATAACGGTGTTATTTGGGCACATTCTTATAAATGATACTACCCTCTCTCACTTTCACCACACGTAGAAAGTAAATGAGAAATACACTGACAAACCAAGATTTCGAGTACGTAACCATGTTACAAAATGTTGCGCTCGTGCATCAAACTTGCTAAGCCTTGTTTATTCTTCTGGGTGGATTTTTGAAGACCAAAAAGTTATCAAATTACTGTATTAGTACACTCAAAATCCCTGTAATTTAATTGGGTCTCTACATAAACTGTATGTGGGTTAAAAAAATCCCATTCCTGTTCAGAGCAACGACTAAATCATCACACTTCAATGGTTTTGGCAAAATTATTATTTTCTCCTTCAAGCTATTTATAAACAACTGTCAGAGTTACGTAGGGGTGAAAATTGGTTATAAGCAGTACCTAATTAGTAGTAGGTGGGACTAGATAAGAGCTTTCAAAAGATTGGTGCAGTGGGAGGAGCCACTCTAGTAGACTTGCTAAAAAATATTGCTATCTCAACAAATCATAGAGGAGGAAGGTTCCTATTTTATATATAGCTTGTCTATATTTCAAATTCGAGTTTCTAATTCGTTAGCTACTTATACATTTTGTATGGTGGGCATAATAAAATGGCAACTGAACAATAAGACAACTGGATGTGTTATGTGACACACAAAATCGATATTTAACATTTTTTCCTTTACATTTTCTTTTAAATTAAGAAATTAAAACATATATAATATCAAAATTTAAATTATAAACAATGTTTAGATACCAATTTCATTGATGTAAGTAGTAAAAAATGTTATTTAATAAAATTTTGAAAATAACGCTCCAAAACGTCATGACACGTGCACTTTAACCTACCTGGGGCAAAAGGGTTAACCATATAATTGAAATTATGCTTTACTTGAGCAATGACAACATTATAATGAGTAATTTATATTAAATGTCATACTTCTCAGAAGGGTGGTAAATAAATTAGAGAAAAGGGGATGCCAAGAGAGCAAATGTCAGAATTCTCATAATAGAGGAAATTCAGGATTTATTTTAATATTCCTTATAAAATTAAGAGCTTAAAACTTATGAATTATTAAAAATATAGATTATTAGCTATGTTTTTATGCTATATGCATTGGTATACTATGAAAATAAAGTAGTTTACATTTTGAGTGTAACTCACTGAAACCTCGTAAAGTGCGCAGTAAAAGATGCCCATGGAGAGAGGGTTAATCAAATATTATTATCATTATATCATTACATGTATTGAACAATATCAGTTTTATCCATTGTTTCTTTAATTGTGTGAAATATCTTTGCAATTTAATTTCCCTTGTCATTTTTGGATCAATTTATATTCATACATACATATTACTGAAGACAAATTATTATATTAATATATTTTTGGTTTGAAATGACTATGTGTACAAATTAATTACTTGAAATTGTATAAAACTGCTATTCATCTTTACTAAAAATATATTTGTTTGCTGAACTGTTAACCTCTTCAAACATTACACTTTTATAAGAAAATACTGAAAACTTTTATAACTTGCAAAGCATCAGTTTTGGATTATGAATAACAATTGATAATCTTGTTTGTAATTTATCTATGGACAGAAGCATTTATAAGTTGATAATCTAAGTTGCCTTTTCAAATAGTAACTAATAATTAACAATTATATCTGATTTAAATTGGGTTGAACATTTTATTTATGCTAGAAGTTTACATCTATCTAACCTAAAATTTAATGATTTATTATTGCCATCTGAATGGCTTTTTTGCTATGCTAACAAAATATTCAATATGTTCTTGTGTGATGAACATTTTCAGTGGGTTTGGGCACTGCAACCACACTAATACAAACAGCCCATCTACATAAAACTGTAACAAAAGTACAATGCTTAAGATAAACGATAAATTTGTGAAAATGATGACATTCCTCTTAAAATCAGAAGTGTAACAATTATCTTACTTTGTATTGTTACATTATTCTACATTTTCAAACAGGAGACAAAAAATTTAATTTTTTTTACAGGAATAAAACACATCATTTATATTTCAAATCACGTACTGATATCAATCAACCATTTATTTCCCATATATATATATATATATAAACATAAAATATAAATGTATACTAAATGTTCTATGGTCACTCCTATGCTAGAAAGATACTTACTGCACAAAAGGTATAAAATATTGTCTGTCTTCATCACTTTCCAATTTACCACTGATGATATCTGTAATATCCATAGCTAAAAATAAAAATAAACCATTGTTACTTCAGTTTTTCACAAAATTATGGCCTGAAATGGCCAAAAAAAAATGTAAAATTTATCATAGACACATCAGTTTTGTATTTTTATTACAGTAAGGTTGCATTACATACTCACTAAATAAGTTGTTACTAGCAAATAATTAATGCAAAGTTTCTTTATTGATGAAATTATCATTAGAGAAAAGCCACCTAAACAAAAGGTTGAGCTTTGTAAACACAACAGTTGAGAAGGAAAAAACAAAGATACAGTAACACCTAAGTAATTTTAACTTTAATCTGATCTCTTTTATTAAAACTTTTCAGATTTATAAATTATATTGCTATATAATCCAGGCATCTTTTGATAATTTCATGATTACTGATATAAACACTTGTGTAAAGAGCTACCTTTACTTCTGAAGTTAACATTTTCTTACCTGAAAATGTATTTCTGATAGATATAGATACTCACTTCTTCACACAGTTAAGCTATCTTCCCCATGCATCTGCCACTAGCCTTTAGGCACCTCCCACCTAATTTCAGAAAATTTCTCAAGAATTGCACAACTTCATAATGATGATATCATGCAGCAAAAGCCCTCAATCAATAGGAGGGCAACACACTTCCTTGTGCACTAACCCCTCTATGTTTTTTCACTAGTGATATGACAAGAAATACTAAGGTGCACCAAAAGTGAGGAGGAAGGGTGAGAATGTGTGTGACAGATGAGTATCTATTGGAAATACATTTTCAGGTAAGGAAAATGTTGACTTCTGAGAGATACACACCTCTTCACACAGTTAAGCTAGAATCCAATGTTGAAGTGGTGGAGAGGCTGGTGCAAAGATTTACCTAGTTGAGAAAGCACCCAAAGGAAACCCATGGAGTGTGACACCTGGTGACAGGGGGTCCATTGGGACACACCCATAGGAGACCACATCCTATCTCTTAGCCCAGGAAAAAAAGAAGGTAAACAAGCTCCATATATCACAGGGATGGATATAATAAGATAATGGCCATCAGAGTAATTGCACTAAAGATGATGGACAGCAAATATGTGTAGCATGGTTGGAGCACATTCAGACTGTATCTTGTCTTCACATCAATTTTACCACCAGACTAATGGACAGACACCAGCTGTGGAAGAATGGCACAGAATTCATGTCATAGAGTGTGGAATGGTGTGTGTGTGTGTGCATGCTTCAGCTCAACTGAACAGGAGGTTAATACGGTAGGTGGGAATAAGTATATAGTGTGCTCACTTTGACTCTACTGATCGGATATCAGCTGCAGGAAGAGGGCATAGTCTATTAGTGCATGCTCACAGACACGACTGCAGGAAAAGAGAACAGTATAGTGGTGCATGCTCACCTCAACTCTACAAGACAGTCACAAGCTGCAGGAGAAGACGATAGATCTTGTAATGTGCTTGGCCCAACTCTACTGGACAGTCACAAACTGCAAGAGGGCACAATCTTGTATTGTGTTCACCTCAATTCTACTGAACAGATGCAGATAGCAGGAGGAGGGCACAGTCTTGTAATATGCTCGCCTCAATTCTACTGAACAGATGCAGACTGCATGAAGAGGGCATGGATCTTGTAATGGCTCTCCTCAATTCTACTGAACAGATGCAGACTGCATGAAGAGGGCATGGATCTTGTAATGGCTCTCCTCAACTCTGTTGTACAGATGCAGACTGCATGAAGTGGGCAAGGATCTTGTAATGGCTCTCCTCAACTCTATTGTACAGATGCAGACTGCATGAAGAGGGCATGGGTCTTGTAATGGCTCTCCTCAAATCTATTGTACAGATGCAGACTGCATGAAGAGGGCATGGATCTTGTAATGGCTCTCCTCAACTCTATTGTACAGATGCAGACTGCATGAAGAGGGCATGGGTCTTGTAATGGCTCTCCTCAACTCTATTGTACAGATGCAGACTGCATGAAGAGGGCATGGATCTTGTAATGACTCTCCTCAACTCTATTGTACAGATGCAGACAGCATGAAGTGGGCAAGGATCTTGTAATGGCTCTCCTCAACTCTATTGTACAGATGCAGACAGCAGGAGGAGGGCACAAGTTGTATGTTATAATTATAGCTATATGAGGGGTGACCTGCACTACAATGACAGTATCACTACCACCACCCAACTTCCCACTGATTGGCACTCCTTGTTCTAACCTCAACAATTAGATCCTAGTCAGTGAGAATTCTCTATGGTCCACTACCCCAGTGGCTGCAAATGATAAGTGGCAAGGATCTCTCTTACTCCACTCGAAGAAAAAAGGGGAGGAGGAATTCACAGTGTGAAGACCTGAAGGAAATGCCTGGATCACCATCAGTCCTTCAGTTAGAAAAGTCTTTTACTGGAGACGAAGCTACAGGTGGCCATGGATCCTTATTTTGAAAAGCCAGCAAGCACAAGCCAAAGAAACAGTCAGAGCACCCCCTGGTACTGTATTTTTCCACGACAGTCCATGGAATAGGTACAGTCTGGACCAGACAGTAGTCAGATATATAAATATACCATGAGGATACCTCTAGTGGTCTTGCAGAACACCCCATCTCACAGTGAGCAAATATAGAGTCAGGGTGGATGGTATGAGTACTTTCCATTATCCTGGCTCAATGTGGAAGTCTGGAAAATAAGTATACACTGGGGGACACCACCAGCCACCTGGCAAGATCCTATAAGCAAATGCTGTAATAAGAAAAAGGAAATGTACTGACCTGTCTAAAGATGGTGAGGAAAGTGCAGGATGGTAACCTTGAGGAGATGAGACAGTCAGATGATGAAGACAGTAAGTGACAAAGGTGTGAATGGTAGTCCACATGCCAGCTTGAAGAATCTTGCCCAGCAACCATTGGAAATGAGTGGCAAGGGAATGAGTGAAGTGATCAATCTGATAGGATGAAATGCAGAATAGTTTGTATGCATCGATTTCCAAAGAGGAGTAGACCAAACATAGAAGTTGTTGGACCAAACCTATAAGAAGATAAGTCTCTGGAGGAATAAGAATCCCATGAAATGAAGAGTCAAAAATAGAAGGCATAAAAATGAGAGGTATGAGTCAAATAGCAACAAAAGGCACAAAAGTCTGTCTGAGTCCAATTGATCATAGTGGTGTGAAATAAAAGAAAGGGAGATGGGAGAAAAGGAGCAGTCACTTTCCCAAGCAACTGAAGTCTTATGGAGGAAGTACCTGTCAGGATAAAGAAGAATATAAGAATGATGGAAAATGGTAAGGGAAAAGTCGATAGCATAGATACCTGAACGATATCATCCACAGGCAAGAAATATGAGGAAACAAGTCTTAAGAGAAAGGTGGTATAAATTGTGAGCTGCCAATGGCTTGAAATGGGTACAGGTAAGAGTATGCAGGATGACAATGAGACATGAGAAAATGATAATGAAGGACTGGAACAAGGTCAAAAGAATTAAGGAGGAAAATATCTTACTGTATTGAGAAAGATGAAATATGGTTGACAAGGCTTCCCAGTAACCAGCAATGGTAGAGTCAGAAATCCACTGTCAAACAGCCAAGGTAAAAAAAAAAAAAGCCAATGTTAGCACAGTCAGAAGAAAGTCTGTCTGAGTCCAATCGATCATAGTGGTGTGAAATAAAAGGAAGTTATTCACTCACAAAAGTAGTAGATGTTACATGAACTAATGACAACAAGAATGAGAATGGAAAAAGAATACCCAGTTGGAAAGTCCAGTTCAACAGGCAATGGACTGGACAACTTCCAAACATGAAGGTGGAGGGACAAGATCTAAGATGGAATAGTGATGTCTGAGGTTGAAGCAAGAGAGAGAATATAGTTGGCAGGGAAGAAGGTGTTGGGTTGTCAGGTGGCACAGAAGAGGGAACCAAGATTAAGCCAGCCAGAGGATACAATAAGTGTGAGGTGGGTAAGCATAATGAAAAAGATGAGACCAGACTGGCTGAAAGCATCAACAGCTAGGGTCGAGGGATAGGGAACAGGTAACCAGAAGAGAAGAAGTCTGAAAATGAGAGGGGTGGCAAAGGTATCACTGAGTGGAGTCCCCAAGAGAGAGCACACCACATGGAAAACTTGAGAGTGGAGAGACCATTTTGTGAGCAGAACATGGTCCAGCTGAGAGAGGCAGTCTGCAACTAGGTTCATAGCACCTAATACATGACAGGTAATGAGACAACCCATTGAGAATTGGCCCAATAAAGAAGGTACAGAGTTTGAAGGCAAGGAGTCCTGGATTGGGTTCCCCCTTAACAGTTGATATAGGAAAACCATGGAGTTGTTGGAATGGATCATAACGAAATGATCCACTAGGACAGGTAAGAAATGGGATCATACCTAATAGACTATCGGAAGTTTGAATGTGTTGATATGGAGAGAGGACTTGTTCTGGGTCCATGTGCCAGATGTGGAATTGTCCTTCAGAGATGATCCACAACTAGAGGGTGGAAGCATCAATAAAGAAGTGTACAGTTTGGGTGGAGGTGATATTGAATCAGTCCAGCCACCAATAAAAAACGTTAAGTAAAGGAGGAACATGTGAACCATTCAGGTCAAAGGTTTCCATGAGTGGTCCCTCTGGTCACACAAGGGCCAATGGAGGAGGCACACGTGTGTGCATCCAAAATGGTTAAGCAGTTTCGGTGAAACCAGTCTCCAAAAGCTAAAAACTTCTCACACAGTAGTAGGATAGGCATGAATCTTGGTGACTAACAGTTCCATAGTTCACAGGCAGATGGGAGAAGGCTGGACACAGCTGAGAAATGAGTTGAAAAACACTCACAGGTAAATAAAATATTGAGTGGGAGTAAGAAAAAAATTTTGAAGTGTTGATGAACACTGCCTCCTCAAAATGTTGTAGATAGATGAGATCAAACGGAGGAGGAAAAGAAACCAGAAGATGGCTGAGAGGAGGAGTAAGAGAACTGGAGAGAAAGGGGGACAGGTGAAGATGAACCTGGGAAAGGAGAGTATCCCTACAGAACAATTTT